CTTTTCCTGTCCCTTTTTTCGAATGAACAAGATTTCTCCATAAAAGCATTAAATTTTCTTCAGTCTCCAATCAATCAGCAAAATATTAATTCAAGGATGGATAAAACTAGCCTTGATCTTCAACAGTGCCATACATAAGCATAAATTCATCCAAGAGGCTCAATATCAGGTGCTCAGAGATTTTCCATAAATGTTAATTGAGAAGAAGACAACAAGATAGTGAACACACACCATGACAAGAACCAAACCTTCTCTTTATGCCAAGAAAAGGACAGAAAATACATATCTTCCAATGAGAAAGTCAACATTTGACAGAATGAAAACAATGGATTTAGTTTGCACCACTAGCGAGCAAGATATGCGAAGGGGAAAGTGTATGATAATAAGCATCTAATTAACTATTTCCCAGACTATGAAGCATCATCGAAAACAAACTACACACAATCATTGTCTGATTAAAGAGACAAAACCATGACATTAAGAAGAAAATAAGATATGCACGACCAGTTCAATACACATGAAGGAATTTTAAATAAATTATTTTTCCAATACTTGGACAAATCTTAAATAAATCAAAAACAACAAAGAGAACAGGGCAATCTCAATTGTCCAGAATGGAATAGAACTTCACCATCAGAACCACTTTGGTCGACTATTTGAAACTTACCTAGATTCATCAGTAGGAATCCAGTTCCAGTATCTGCGGTCTTCAATCCCCGTAATGGTCATCGCTTTTGCAGAGATAGACATGCAAGCCCTTCCAGTCACCCTGTCCAGCCATATTTCCTGTAGTTCTCCAAGGTCAAAAAGACCACGTAAATTAGAGACAGAATCATCCTAACTGCAAAATAAAAGACTTATATACGTGATGCTACTGTCTTTTCCCTTAAAATTAAGCAAAATCCACTCGAGACTCCAGCTTCTATCTAAACAAAAGCACATCATAATAGAACATAACTCAAGCTTCATACTAAGTTGCAGTGACACCTCACTCCAATTTATTTCCCCAAAAAAATGACACCAAGCCCACATCTAGTTTTATTAATCCAGCAAATGGGCACCCGCCTATTCCTTCAAATTTCAGTTTTTAAAATCAATTTCACTCCTCAACACCCGCACGTCACACAAACGTACAGTAAACAAATAAAGATCAGTACCTATATATTGAAGTTGATATTTGACAAAAATAAAATAAAGATCAGTACATTACGTAGAAAAATAATATAAAACTAGTACTAATAAGAAAACCCCACAGCAGAACAGATTTCCCATTGAATCAAATTAACCTTTTCAGGATTTCACCCATAAACCTGTACTCACTAGCAAATAGGCATCCAGGAGAAAGTTTTCAAGAAACAATTAATCTCAAAAGCTCGAGGGGAAAAAAAAGAAGCACAAAAGTTCAATTCCTTCGTATCCTAATCGCAAGGGGGAAATAAACCATAACAATCACAAAGACTACAGCGAGAACCGAGCAAACAAACGAATAATTAAAGGATAAAGATAAAAGCAAAGGAAATGAAAGAAGAACATGCCTTATATCCATCGTCAAAGAGGACAGGGCGGGAGAGGAGAGCAAAGATGTCTTTTTTGGATAATTTTTGGTAGCGTTCTGGAGGAAATAGTTCAAGGAGTTGTTGGTAGTTAGGTGGCAGCTTAGCTTCCCAGACAGCATCGGAGGAAGCGGCGCCGCGGAAAGCGCGGTTGAGGCGAGCCAAGTTGCATATCTCAGGGGGGGTTAAGTATAAAAAAACACACGCCACGCAACTTTCCGGTATATCCCCCAACCCTGGTCCACCGTTCGCCGCTCCGTTCTCCGTTAAGTTGGATAACGATGCGCCCATAGATTCTTTTCTTCTTCCTCCTTTGTTTTTCCCTTTCTCGGGGGACTTCCCGTTTCTTTTGGGACGGTGGTCGTGGGGTGGTCAAATCATGATTCTTGTATTTACTTCTGACGGGGTGAAGGGAGGTCGTGGCGTCGCCGGGAATAGCGGTGGTGGAAATTGGCGGACACGGGAAGGGTGAATTGTGAGGGCGCGGTGAAGAACGAGACTCAGGGAGGTGGATTATGGAAGGCGGTTGAATTAAATTGAATTTTCTTTTACTTTTTTTTTGGCACGTCTGTTACCGATTTCTTCCATTTCTTTTGTTGAAGATTGTTCTTGTACTTCGGTCCTTTCTTGTTTTTCTTGGGTATTGTTCTATGATTTGTATTTCGGTCGTAGACAAACCCGAGTCTCCTCTTTTTGTTTTGGGATAATTTCAGAAAACTCCCCTGAGGTTTCTATCAATTTCACTAAGCTCTCCTAAGGTTTGGAAAATTATATATACATCCCTTGTCATTTAAAATGATACTTTTACCCTTAAATATTTTAATGAAATTCCTTTATATGGTATGCTTATACTTAGAATGAGTTTTAATTTTTTTTTTCATTTTTTCCCTTCTTATTTTTTTTTCGTTAATAAAACTATAGAACTATCACTATTGCCTTTAATTTCTATTGTAATTAAATGTCAAACTAGTAATTTTTTACGAGTTAATTTTATATGTAATCTAATGCTTTTACTGATTTTTATTTTCTATGTTTTGGTATAAAAATTAACAATAAATCAAAAAAATTACCCAAAATCACTACTAAATTATGACCGTTTGGATTGGCCATTTTTTTCAAAACAAATTGTTCAAATACAATACTACAGTAATACACAATAACTCAAAAAATATTTCATCCATACAACATATCAAATATTTTAAAAATTTTTTATAGTAAAAAATTTTCATATATATTGTTACAGTAAATTTTTTCAAAAACACCCCCAAAAACAGCTAATCCAAACGGTCTGTAAATTAATAAAATTTAAATGAATTATTTCAACATTTTTTTCTATCTTAAAAATCTAAATCTATAATTAAATACCATTAAAAGTATCATATCATAGTGATAAAATTATTATTATAGTTGTTTATCAAATAGTAGGTATGTACATGAAAAAATTGGCATACTTTCCTTATAATTATACTAAATAATCTTATAATTGTATAGAAAAATAAATTAAAACTCATTATACAAGGGCATTTTGGGTAATCATTTAAAAATTTGACCAAATCAATATTATTTTAAGATTTTGTTATTATAATTTTCAAATCAAGGGAGGTAAGTGTAATTTTCAAATTTTAAGGGAGCCCAATGAAATTTCTGAAAACCTCAGGGAGGTTTCTAAAATTATCCCTTTTATTATTTTTTTTTTGGCTGACACAGAAGTTAATAGCTGTGCTAACATATGACACGTGTGTGTAATAAATGAATTTTGAAGTCTAAAATTTGGAATTTAAATTTATTGAATTATTAAATTATTAGATATTAAATCTAAGATATATTTAAATGTATATTACATCAAGTAAGTTTTATTTGAAACATTTAGTGCTACCTGATTAATTCAGATATTTTAGTTTTTGTTATCAAGCATGTCTGAACATGTTAAAATATGAAATCATTAAATTTAAGTGTTAAATTGAGTTATCAAATAGGACATTAAACAATTATATCGTATAGAATAAGAAAAACTCAAATGTGTTATATCACACAGGAGCGCATTAAACGCTCAGGTGAGGTTTGATAAAATTGAAATTTGAAATTTGAAATATGAATATTTTAAGTTAATTAGTTGTTAAGTACTGAAATTTTTATGTTTGAACGTATTCTACATTAAATTATAAATAAATAAATTATCACTTATTTTTGTGGATAGGTTTTGTTTAAATAATTCATGGCCATTTAGCTAATTATGATGCGAATTTTTTATGTATGTATTAAAAAAATATAAAACCAATTCTCATTAAAAAAAATTTGATCTCAACAAGTATCATTAAAAATTTGTAAATATTTTAATAAATGCACACACATCGAGAGAGAGTGTGCAGTAAACATTTATATTGTGTATCGGGCAAATAAAAACAATAAAAGAGAAGGGGGAGGGGGAGGGGGGGGGGGCCTCCAAGTTTTCCACGAATAACCAGAGGTACGAGAGACCGGGCGTTTTCTTGGGGTGTAAGCTTGGTTCTGTCTGGATAACTTGTACAGGGCCTTATGTCATCTTTTGAATTCCGTTGGGTCACATTTTAGGCAAACTTATGATTTTTTTTTCTTTTTAAATTATTCTACTTGGAAAGACGTCCACGCCCGCAGCCCACGCTACATATCTTCTTTTGCGGTCCCATGATTTTTTTTTTCTTTTTTCTTTTAATCTCTTCTGGTGGGACCAAAAGGAGGCCGAATTAGGAAAACTGACCGCACACGCACAAATGCGACATTATGATTTCATGTCACGTATCGGTTGGTCAAATAATAGTAAACCCTTTTTTTTTTTTCACTTTTATCTCCAGCTTTAGACTTTTACAAGCAAACAAGAAAAAAAGTTTCCTAAACCACCAAGCTTTGCTCGGTCGCTATCAAAGAGGACTTAACGCCGCCGGTTGGGTGTTGGGTCATAGATAGGGTTCAAATTTTTTCTGTAATTAAAAAAATTTAAAAATAATATTAAAATATCCCTTTGATTTAATTGAATCTGTATATCTGTTAGATTCTAATACAATACTTTTTAGGCTCTCCTTCTCGTATATAGATATGAATAGAATAGATTATACAATTATTATCGTTATCGAAAAAAAAAAAAATTTTCTATCTAGTTTATTTAATTGATCAGTAGAATCCGTTGAAACGTTTGCGGCTTGGAGGGGGGGGGGGGGTTTTCCCAGTTGTGAGTTCTGACCGACCGGCACTCTCTCAACTCTCAGTGTAAAATCCTATACGTTTCTACACCGGTCCCACCGCCGAGTCTCCCTGAATGAACGGCTAGGATTTATTATTAGTTAAACAAACAGAGCAAAGAACGGTCAAAAATCGTCAAAGGGGGACGACTGTTTTGCAACAATCCTGTGGACTCAATCCTCCAATCCCACCACCTTTAACAAGGCAAGGCAGCTGATGAAATGAAAGCCT